AAAATTGAAGTAAATTAAACATTTAAAACCTTTGAACCCATCAACATGTTTTTTAGCTCTGTGTACAAAACCTTCCACAACCACCTGGTTTGTTGAATTAAACAAGAATTTAAATTGCAGGAACAACAGAAACTGAATAGGTAAAATAAAACGAATTTGACCTCTATGTGGCGCTGTGACATTGGAACGATTTCACAGTATTCAGCATGAGCCAGTGTGTGACAGATTCTTTGATAGATAGATGTGACCTGGTGAACACATCAAACTTGTCAAGGACAAACCAAGCGGCACTTTAAAAATTTTGGAATACATTCTGGTCGCAGAGTTCCAGAACAAGTTTGAAGTGAAATTGACGGATTCTCTCCAAGGTGTGTGGTAGTTACTCATCAAAGACAAACTGCTGTCTGTTTTTTTTTTTTTTTGAAATTGTCAAAGGCACAAATAGGGCTGTAAAAGGTAAAGGTTTTTTCACAAAAACTCTGTCATATTCCTATGGGAACTTGGTATAATCCAACAATTTTTTAAATACATAATTATAGAATCACATAATAAAACATATAAAATAAAATTATTATTAGCATTTCTTTTAGCCATATAGCCATATATAGGTATATAGTGGTACTCTTAATAAAACTACTGTAGCAATAGTAACCAGTGCAGGTGCTGTGATCCAACTGGACTGTAACCAATTTCATTTTCCCTCTGCAGTGATGACCTTGGATTTCAACATTTATGAAGCACAGAGGAAAAAGAGATACGTTAAGGTCCTCAGTAATGAGAAGACACAGCCCCCCCTGGGGGAAGAAGACCCCTCTATTCTCTCCCCCATTCACTAACATGTCATCTAACAGCAGAGCTGCGATGCAGCACTTTTCTACACTCACTTAACATCCTGCCTCAAGACAAGATATGGCTGCTTCCCACTCAGGTAATGGGATAATCTACTCCAACCACCAGGGGAATTACCCAAAGAATGTCTCAGCAACAGAACAGTGTCACACTTGATTTTAATTTTTCTGTTGATTCACACATTTTTTTCTTTCTACTTTAATAAACAGCCACCTATACAATATATTTTTTCCATTGTTTACTTACTTCCCCAGAGCAAAGCACTCCAGTCTGACAGTCACTCCTTTGGCAGCAAGAACAGACGTAGGGAAATGCACTTCAATTTTGGGCTCATATTCACCCATGACACCTGGGAAAATGTTGAGAAAGAGAAATTGAAGACATTAGAAGCGAGCGCAGTGAAAACAGCTCTTTACTCTCACATTTGCCATTATCCTCATTTTTCTTCCCCGTACAGTGACGAGGGAATGTGGGTTAAACTCACATAGATGGCCACATTTTATGGCCTTGTATTCTGCTTTGGAAAGCAACACAATCGTTACAGTAGGAATGAGAGCGTAGCAACAAATCGGGATATCACGAACGTCTTGCTTTCCTGACTTCTCCAAATATCCCGATGTATTACCTTTATATAGTACACAAGGACGACGTGGAGCATGAACCTGAATAACAGCCACTGAGGTTTTATATTAAAACAATACCTGTGAAACATTGTTACTGGATCTTTCTATTTTTATTGTTTGGTCAAATTAAAGGCAGATAAATATAATACAACATTTACAGGTCAAGTGTTGCACTTAATTGGACAATAGATCTTCAGAGTGAATATATTTGCCTTGTATTGATCAGTTGCTATGTGATGTAATGAGCACACTATACTGCAGTACTGTAGCGTATCACAGGACAGTAGATGTGATTTAAAGCATGGTCTCTAAGTATAAGGGAAGGATGTGATTTTCTACTCACTTTTAACACAGGGATAATAGTTATTTCTTTAATTTCAATAATTGAAGGAAAATAAAGTGAATACAACACAGTCATGTCCACTTTATGAGGTAGCGCCTCCTACCAGCAAGTGGTGCTAAAAAAACTTTTTTTGTGTGTGTTGTCCTTGTGGTTAAATTAGTTTTTTTTGTACTAAAAGTCTATGCGACCTTTATAAGAAGGCCGAAGGTGTTGGAATTGTTGAGTATATTAAAAACACAAGTTCAATATACGTGTGGGAGGACATGTAGCCGATCCCAGCATGCACTGGGTGAGGGCGGTGTAGACCCTGAACTGCTCGACAGTCCATCACAGGGCCACATCCAGAGACAAACAACCATTCAAACTCCCACCTACACCTGTGGTTTTCAGTGTGAACAACTACCATAACCTCACATGTTTTTGGGCTGTAGTAGTACACTGAAGTACCTGGAACACCATTCTAACTCCAAGGAGACCATCAGGACTGTCTCATCACATATACCAGTGGACTGCAACCTGTGGCTCCTGAGCCAAAGGTGGCACTTTAGCCTCTTGGCATCGAGGCTCCTGAGCCAAAGGTGGCACTTTAGGCTCTTGGCATTGACTGATACACCACACATCCACTAGAAATGGATATTGTACTGATACACCACACATCCACTGGACATGGATATTGTATTGGATGGGGCTATACATTTGAACAGAAATCCAGTTTAAACCAGTTTAAGGCATCACAGTACATTTGTTTATCTGAGGTTGTATTATCTGAATTAATCATATACAATTAAATAAAATATTTATTAACAATTAATCACTTACACTCTTGATTAATCCTGTGATTAATCAGATGAGAAACGTTAATGGTTTAACCTGGTATTTGCCAATAAACAAACTTAAAAAAAAAGGGGCGCTAATTAGAATTACACTGTTTAACAGAAATCTTTAAGCTAATGATTAATTTCAGGCTTCACTTGTTATCAAAGAGTATTTTAAGCTGTACACTTCCCAAAACACCATCTTCTGACTTACATCACTGCCATCTACTGGTCTGCTAAACTGAAGAATTATCTTCATACTCCACATTTAATAATATCTGGACACCCATAGCCAGAAGCCTGGTTCTCCTTGTGTATTCATCTGTACATTAAGTCGGCCATTTATATCCATTTGCAAGAGCGACGTGTCATAGCACATTGAGCAAATTCATCGTAACAAAGGAAAGCACCTTCACCTGGGATCTCATTACAATTATCTGTCTTATTAAACAGGAGCTTGTGATATGAATATTACATGAGTCTTTGTTCTCCTTCACCAAAGAATGTTAAACGCACAGGGAGACACGGCGCTGACGGACACGCCGCCCCTGACGGCACCTGCTTCAGTTCACACGAAAGCATGTCGGAGCATGAGCAGCGCCCCTACAAGTGCACTGTAATGTATGTAATCAATGAGACAAACGACTGGCATAACATTAAGAATCATAATTATCCCTCCCACATGTGGAATGTGATGGTTGGAGCACGGAGAAAGCAAGGATTATTGGCCTTTGTGGCTTTAAATGTAAGAAAAGGGGCATTTATTTATGGCACATTTTTTCTCCAACATAATTTCTACTTGAACATCAATCACCACATGTTTATATTTTTTGAAAGTTTATTTTAAACCTCTATTTAGTCTGAGTCACAGGCCGGACACAGGATAGAAATAAATACCATCTTTTTGGACTATAGATTGTTAAGTCGCACTTTTTTTCTTCCTTCGGCCGGGTTTGCGACTTATACTCAGGTGCGACTTACATATATATAGTTTCTCATTTGTTACTTTCACACTGACAACAATGAAAATGTACACGTTCGTTATTTTTCCACTGATAACCGCTAGAGGGCACTTTAGGCATGTGAACCAGTATCTGCTACTCCTGTAGCAATGAAAAGTTAGGGCACTGGTGCGACTTATAATCCGGAGCAAGTTGTAGTCTGGAAAATACGGTAATGTCGGAGAGAGTGTAAGAAAAATAAGTGTATCAATGTATCAATTTCTTATTATTGTAAATAATATATGACATGTTAGGAAATGGTAAAGTTTAGACGCAGCAATAAAGGTTTAATTTAGTGGAAGTACTATTTTGAAGACAGGCTTTGTTGCATTAGAACTTTTTAAACTGTTAGGAAACAATAGCCCTGACTGCACTTCAGCTGAGGTTCTATCTTTAACTTTCCATTCGTCTCTATTCTAATCTTTGCCTTTTTCTTCTGCTGTAGTTTTTTTAAAGATCATATTCGCAAGTTCTTTAAGTGTAAAAATAAAATCACCCAAGCAAGTAAATGAACAGTGGGACATTTCTATTCAAGAAGCAGTTAAATAGAGGTCCTGGTTTTTTAAAGACGTTTCACCTCTTCTTTCCAGAAGCTTCGTCTAACTAACTAATTAATTACTGGGGGAATCTGGTATTTAGCCAGAGTTTAGTTGTTATTCGCCCTAACCTAATGGCAGGAATGTTCTGCTCATGTGTAAAGGTGTGTTTTGGTGTAATGACTCTTTTTTCTGGTATTCAGCCACTCTGAGGCAGAAGGTTTCCAGCAGTCAGTTAGAACTGCCTCTTGGAAGAAAAAGACGTGAACCATATTTTGTCTAGGCTCCGATTCCTCCTGTTGACCACTAATAATCCTTGAATACAGTAAGATTGTCCTACAGAGGCACTGACAAAGTCGTTCATTTCAACTTGCTTTCATTGCTACAACTCACACTGAGAAAAAAAATGATTCTAATCAACATGGACAAGACTGCAGGAGCAGCTATAACACGATGATCATCATTAGCTGCAATGCATATTACTGGGAGATTATGATGTTCACTGGTCAGTCAGTAAATTAAGATCTTAGATGAACACTGTGAGACGGTCATCCTGAATTTCAAACACATCAGTAGTTTATCACTGGGTATTTCTGAACACATCGTAAAAATAAAAATATACCGGTTTATTTTATGATAGTCATCCACTAGAATAGTATAAAGTACAGTGCAGTGCAGCAGGATTTAGGTGTTCCTAAAACAAATTGTTTCTTAAGCATCAGGGATTTGTTGGTTCGCAATGACCTTTACTTTTCACCATGAAAATATATCATCTGTTCATCCCCCGGGTGCAAATAAAGTTTGGCGCTAAATGTGTCAGAAATGTTTCAAGATATTATGTGCAGAGGAACCAGGGGAACAAATGCAACGACTCATTTCTCATTTTTCTGTCCACAGCTGCTGCCCCTGTGTTTAAAGTTGATCATGTATCAAAGTTTTTTAAAAGGGACAGATTTTAATTGAGTTATGTGACCGGGTCACATTAAAAATGCACTCTAAAGGGAAAAAAAATCCAATCAGTTTTGTCCATACATGTCCTATAAATTCCTGGACAGCTGGACGTGTCTCAGCTGACTGATGGTAATTGGATTGTCACACTTGTGCAGTCTTTGAGAAAGTTACCCCGGAGGCACTTATCTATTCTTCATCAGCTTAAGCCATGCTTGATACAAAATCATGATTAACGGTCCAAAACATGTACTTTAGCACGCGATCCTTGGTTTCTGTTAATTTATTTAATTTTTCATCATTTAAATTATTATGTACTCCTGGGGACAAGACAGTACTTTATAAGGCAGTAGAAGAAACTACTTTGAAGCTGCTGCATTTTCTCCTTGATGTCATATTAGCTTATTAGCATAACTTTAAAAAGATTCAAACTTTTCTTTACTGCAGGCCCCACTAAAATGATGGTACTGTGTATTTAAGGCAGGATGTGTCTCAGTGCAGTAGACAATGAAATGTTTTGACTACAACACTCAAAATAAGAGAGTCAGTAGAAAATCATGCTGACACTGAAAATGGCTGGAGGCGTATGGTTGCTAATATTCATTAAACATGTAGCAGAGAAAACAGGCCTGTGTGTCTGCTTACATTATGTTTCACTGCTACTGCTGGAAATGTGGGAATGTGAAACATCTCATGGTGTTACTAACAATAGTGAAAATTTAAATCTGTACAAAATAACAAAATCAAATAAAAATCAAATACCACCATGGCCCTAGGAGGATGTTGCATCTTAATTAATTCCAAATCCAGATTTGAAAGTCTATTGGTTCAATGTAGTCAATCTCATTTTTGTTTAATTTTTCTCTTTGCCATGTAATTTTTTTTTTTCCTTTTGTGCTGAACTTTTACCAACGCTCTCAGGGTTACCTTTGTAAAATTTGCACCTGGTGTTCTGTCTCGGCAGCCGTGAAGATTTCTTCTCTGTCTTCAGCCCTGCCTATTCATCTCCTCACATCTTCTCGTTCAACTGCCTGTGGTACATGTCACCTCTGCACTTCTTACATACTGTGTTTTTTTATGATGAATGTTAGCTTCTGTAGTCAAATATGTTTTTTTAAATACATTGCATTTTTTAAATCTCCTATTTTTTGTTCCTTGCAATGACAATGCTTATATTCTATGGTTGTGTCATGTTGTGTAATATTCGCAAAATAAACTTAATTATTGTAAGCTTTACTGTGTAAATTTTGAAATATATGACATTTATTTTACAAAAATCATCCTTCTTGGTTGCACAAACATGGCGTATTTGTTTATTTATTTTCTTTGTCTATTTGTTTATTTAGACAGTGTCAGTAATTTGGTTTTTCAAATAAAGATGTAGCTTCACTAAACAGTGTCCCCAAGTTGGTCTGTGTGCCTGTATAATTAGGGTATATTTACTCGTTAGATGGCGACTTTTATAATTAGGGTATATTTACTCGTTAGACGCCGACTTTAGAGTTTAGCTCTTCTCAGCTCAAGGTGGATTATGAGGAGAAAAATCAATGACTGGCACTGTGATGTAATGGTGCCCAGGTGCTAGTTTTGATTAAGAGACTCAGGGTTACAGTTGACAGTGGTGAGGTGCAAACCGATCCAGCCCAGACCGTCTGCTGTGCAATAATCACCCTCTTTTGCCGAGGCACAGATTGTGGCGTCTGATTGGTCTGAATCCAACAATCGAGAGGCACATACTGCACTGGAACATTTTGGTGTCTGTGTGGACAGAGTGCCAATGTAATTTTGGCTATTTTACACCCATCAGCAACATAGGCAGTTGCTGAACATTATAGCGTTTGTGGAGCAGGACATGCCAAAACATTATTTGACATTATGAACCTCAGCTGTAGAAATATGAGTTGGCCCTGCTGCGCTGCTGTTAGCATGGTGTCCATCAGCACGTGTTAAAGCCACACATCTTCAATATTGATCCTGTCAAATCTTGTCTTTATCTGAGAACAGGGGATAGTCAAACATTTATGCTCCGCTGCATCAAGATTCACGACAGCATTGTGAGACGAACCAATTAGCCGTGGTTATGCGTTAAGTATTAACGTAATTTTCCTACTACGTTATACAAATACTCGGAGTTTACCTTAAGGGACTGTGGTCCTTAAGAGGTACATTTATAACGCAACATTTGGAGCAGGTTTGGTTCGGAGGCACGAGTGTCCTTTTACAGCTTCACTGGGGATGTAATCTCAAAGGCTCCTTAAAAGTGTTGACAATGACAGGCACCTGTGTGACGTGATGACTTTCGTCTAGTCAGACATATAAAGACCGGGGGTGAAATCTACACCTGAGTCCAACAAACAGCTTCAGTGCATGGCTCCTGAGAGGCTAGTATGAGGAGTGAAACCCCATCCAGGGCAGAGGGCCATTGATTCAGTTAATTTTATGCTGGAAAATGATTTCCCTGTTGGGCAGTTTCACCACAGCACACTGTGAGTGAGGAAGATTCCCCGCACTAATGTTAAGAATCGCACGTTATCTATTTCGAGGGTGTATGGAATTCATAACACCTTCCACTGACGTGAGCTAAGGCAGAGGAGTTGCTCCACATTTATCAACCTATCAGCCCCATTTCTTTTTTCTTCCAAATACATTATGATATAATAAAAGGCCCCTGTAGAATACAATACAGGCTTTAACATTTTTATCTCTGCCAAACAAGTTGAGAGGAGGAGGCAGTGAAGAGAGAATAGATCTGTGGAAAACAGATTTCAGGTAGACAAACAGAAGACAAACACATACGATAAATTCTATTAAATTTCTCTCCCTCTGGTTTTCATACAAATCAGAGCTTTTGATTTGTCAGGTTCAATATAAATCTGAGAGCCTTACCGTCTGTTTTCAGAGTCAGGGGTGTCGGTGGGCTGAGAACTCGTGCGTTTGTCACTGTGTTCTTCACCAAACAAATGTAACTGCCCACGTCGGACGGCTGAACCTTAGAGATGTACAGGTTTCCTGTGTCCTGGGAAATGAAGCGCCGGCTGTCCTCGGCAACAAAGGAGGGGAACTCGTTGAACACCCAGCTGTAGATGATCTCTGGGAAATAAACGCAGGCCGTACATATTAGTGTTTAAAACAATAGAAAAAAAATGTAAATGCATGAATGCAGCCCTCTCTCATTGACTGCAGACAACCGCCTCTCTCTCAGCACCAAGACGACTACATCAATATTAACACCGATTAACACTTTTATCGAAGAGCTATTTCAAACTTGGTTGTCTGTGAATGTGATAAACCATAGGTGAGACCAGTGTTTGTGTCTGTGTCTGTACTGTCTGAAGTGTAGGTGAGTTATAACAGAAAAATAACTGACGTCAGAACACATTAATAACTTCATTGATCGCAGTGATATGAGACAGCCCTATTAAACACGCTGCTTCAGAAAACACAGTGACAGGAACCTGATGAGAAAAGCATTTAAAAAGTCACATTAAACCTCTTTATTTTTCACACAGACATTTGCCGACAGGAAAAAAAAAAAACAACAACGATGGATCAATTGTTTTATTTGCATCTGTGTTCTGTGCTGCATTTTGTAAATAAAGGATGGGATCAAAGATCCTCAGACGGTACACAGGTGATGCATAAACTGGATGATAAACAGCACTTGAGTTGGATGCATTAAATGGATGAGTTTGTCAGTGATGTAGGTTTCTGCTCTGTAGCTTTAACCTTAGTAATGCTAAATATTACAGTTTTTTGAAAAATCAGTGTTTTTTTATTGTGGTAAATGTGTTATATGAATATTCACTGTTTTAACAGAACAAGTCTGCTTCAAATACCTGGTTACAGTGTAGCTTCATATACAGTATATATACTGTGTATATATGTATTATATATACACACACATATATACAGTGCATACATATATGACACATTCACAAAAACGTATATAAAGACATATATCTATATATTTAGAGACACACTTGTACATACATGTATATATATATAATGTAAACATATATAATATATAAACATATGTGTGTATATACATTTACATAGATATATTTATATATACATACACACATATATGTTTATAATATATTTGTATGTATACATATATATACATACACAGACATATGTTTATATATATTTACATTTATTTGACACTTTTTACTAGGAATTACAGTCAGGAAGTGTGATTATGTGAGTGAGGAGATCCTGTTCATACAGTATGTTCAAACGTATACAGCATTTCACTTGTTGTAGCAGACATCATGATGAATAAGAAGGTAATAATACGGGTGGAGAGATGGATGGATGGAGTGTTGGAGTATGACAATGATGAACATGGAGCAGCATGCTGATGTTGACACCACATTGTTTGCTTTGTCTATTGTGTAGAGTCTGGGATGGCTGCATCCATCATTGCATTGAAAGAAAGAAGTCGACTGTCACATTCACAGACAAATTAATCTATTCAACATTGTCAAGAGATATTTCACATCTCTTTGATTCTGCCTAATCCATTCTTCCTAGAGGGAGGGGAAATGAAACCATCACACGTCGCTCACTAAACGAAGAATAACTGCCACTTGGGGGATTCAACATAAGCTCAACGGTCGATGGCCAGCTTGAGGTTAGGTTGAGGTTTTAACATGGCATTTCATGTATTTGATAATTCTATGACACACACGATTCCTATACTGTATATATGTTATCTGTTATTACTGAAAAGTAAAATAAATAAAAAGCAAAATTCAAATCAAATGATGAATTAAAGGTTGTTATCTGTTATTACTGAAAAGTAAAAAAAAGGCTTGTGGCATGATTTTTAAAAGTCAACTAAATGTATTACCACCACTAATAGATGGAGGCACCCCCCACATGACAACAAAAACAGCGACAGACAGAAACTGATTGACGCAAATGGTCAATTATTTTTTCTTCTTACTGTTTTGATATAACAAAGCTCAAAATGTGTATGTGATAATGATCAAAGAGAAGTTGGGGATTTTTACAAAATGTGTATGTGATAATGACCAAAGAGAAGTTGGGTATTAGTGACTATTGGTATTGGTGATAGTGACTAAATTGTAAATTCCATTATCAACTTGACAGCTGCAAGATTATTGCAATTCTTAAATGACAGAAAATCCCATTATCCATTCAGTTGATCTTTGTCACCAAACAAAACAGTCACTCCTACAGTAACGACTACATTTAAACTGGATGACACTTAGTATGTCTGCTGTTTGGGATCATCACTGTTATTTTTTTTAAACATTCTGGTTGTTATCATGACGTGCAAAAATAACAAGCATGGCCGCTGCACAGCTCTTGGCACAGACTACCATAGCAGCGGTTGTGTAGTGTAATAAAGCGGGTGCAAACAGAAACCCTGGATGATTCATAACTCACATAATATCTTGCATTAGAGGACAACTGCAGAGAGGAATATTCAAGATATGGGCGCTGCCCACGCGCTGCCTGTGTGAAATAATTGGTGGTGCAACTTTTCATTCCGACAATCCTGCAAATCCATCCCCCTTATAACACGTGTTTGTTGTTCTTTTAACATTTGTATCATTTTTGCAGATCACAGTGGTTTAAAGAAACTGAATTGATGCATGTATAAGTAAATTAATTAGACTTCACTTCAAGACAATTAGGTGAGAACTATAATGAACTGTAATGTGTTTATTGATGAGCACAGACATAAATAACTTTTTTTTTTGTTTATTTTCTCACCTGGTGAATGAGGAGGGGGGATACACATGAGGACCACTCCCTGTCCTTCACGCACAGACACTCCGCCTCTGCTCTTGCCACTGAAAGCACCAAGATCTGAAACAGCAAACAAAGCACAATTCCCTCTTAGCAACTAGGTCAATATTATAGTAATGCAGTATCACTCAACATCAATATCATTCAATCTGCCTGCAGTGAGTCATCTGATTCAATCGAGGGTTGAGAGTGAGTGAGGGTGCACAGATGAAATGAACGTTAGGGTACAGGCTGGGTAACTGTAAAACACAAGAGAAGCAAAGATGGAAGCGGAACTTTTATCAATACATTTTTGAGTTCTGTGTTCCAGTACCATTATAAAATGAGACGAGGGCACTGCCTGAAAGACATGAAATAAAGTTGAAGGGGGTACAGTGAGTGAAATTGTTGCTCTTTAATCATAAAGCTTTTTCCTTCTTTGATTTCCACATTTCATGTTGTAGCATGTGAATTAGCCCTGCTCTGAGTTAAAGTACATCTGCTTTTCCTCTCGTTCCACTTTGTTTTTCTACATCCTGCAGCTTGTAGTTTAGCCTCAGCAGCATAAACAAGGACAAGCAATGTATGAGGATGAAACATTTATATAATATGAGACAGAAGCAAAATGTTGATACATAGTCAATCTAGATGTGCACAGTAATTAGGCTATGCTTCTAAAATTATACATCACACTTCATAAACACTACTTTCAGCAGAGCTACAGTTAGCGGAGCCAACCTAGGATAAAGCTGCTCCATGCTCAGTCTGAAATAATAAACAATATTTGTATAAATATTATATATACCATCTTCAATTTTTGCTCACTCACAAGTCAAATAAAATAATTAAAAAAAAAATTCCCATGCCCACTCTCAGTGTGGTAACAGTCACATTTGGTAAAGTGTGATCTTTTTCCTATAACGCAAATCAAAATTTTAATTATTTCTACCTAAAGACCACTGTAAACTGCTTCATACCATTTGTTTGTTTGTTGTTGTTTTTGTTTTTAGTACCAATCCAACAGTATGTTTGTTTTTCTAGTGCAAGTAGAGCAAAGCCTGTTAAATCAGAAAGGCCAGAGCTGCACTGTCGTAAACAAAAATAATGCCTGTCTAATTTCTTTGGAATCGGTGCCAACATCAAATGCCAACCAGTTGACCCCAGGGTAACTCTCTGTCACTTACAATTCAGAAGTATAAGAGACACAGCTTTCTGTTGATGTGAAAGTTCTGAGGAGGGATGTAACTCGTCAGTGAAGGATGTCTGTGATTATCTTTGTACACTGATGAAAGAAATAAGGAATAAAGATCACGACCAGGTTCTTCAAATACAACACGTGGGGCATGGCTTCACTCAATGAGGATGCAAGGATGTTTTTATGTCAAATACTTTAGTTTACTTTAGGTGAGCTGGCAAAGAGTTTTGTATACTGTAGTTGAATATTTACATTACAATATATAAATAGTATTTAGTATTTAATTGTCCTGGTGAAACAAAACAATAATGTTCTCGAACACACTGATCAGTTCACTATACTGTTACAGTTAGAAGTTTACAATGATTCACATATTATTTACACTACACAGAGGGAGAACTTGTACAATCCCACACATCAGTTATCACCAGAGACAAAGAAGTGATGTGCTTCCTTGAAGGCAGGAGAACTAACTGCTCTTTCACCATGTGGTCCGTGGCCTTTCATATCCCTTAATGATAAATATTGACTTACAACCTGCTTTCCTCAAGGGAAAAAAAGGAAACACATACAGCAAATACAGCAATAAACAGCTACAAGTACTGTACTGCAGAGGGAAGGGCCACGTGCTCTACCAGAGTGTGTCTCGTTATACTGTAATGATTTTTTTTATTTTATAGATTACTGTCTTTTTGGAAAATCTCTGGAGGTGGTGGAACAGGTTACTGTACGTCTCCAACTACTTAGCCAACTCTCAAACTCAATGATTGGGGTTGCCATAAATGTATAATGCAAAATCATCACGACTTCTGCTATGGCAACCCCTAATGGAGAGTAATATTTTTTGGATATTAGACTAAACAAAACCCAATCAAATCCAGCTACGAGCAATCGTTAGCAAATATTCCCCTGTATTTGATTATGGCTGTCTGTGCAGTTATCATAATGAATGATCGAATGGTTTAATTTTCAAACCCAAATCAAACCCTTTTTATTTACAAAGCACATTTAAAAGCAACAGAGCTGGGATCTGCTGAACAGTGACAATAAAAACACTGGCAAAAAACCAGAGTGGACATAAAAGACATGAAATATTCAGGAGTCAATAAAAGACAACAAAACATGAAACGACTCAGTCAGCGCTGAAAGCCAATGAAAACAAATGGGTTTTTAACACAGATTTAAAAACAGGAAGTGACGGTCGGATAGGTTGCCAGACCATTCAAGCATATGTACTGTATGAACGGACAGTCATTTTAGGAGAAAGGAGAAATATTCACTTGGTAGTTAACATGGCAAATTTCACTGCAATGACAAAAGATAAATGGTCTTCAATCAAGTATTTTATTTAAGAATTTGAGTTTTTTTATTATTATTATTTATGTCTGTAGATAAAATAAAAATCTGAAACGTGATAAACAATGTCAATTTTTTGTTGGGTCCGTGATTAGGGCCCAGTAAAGAGAGCGACATGATACACTGTGGAAACTGTCAATGTCAAAAAATACCGTGTTATACACGTGGTCATAGAACAAAGCACTAATCCACGTCATGAGTCAAAGTTTAATTCTGACCCAGGGACTGTATATAAAGACAGACGACATAACAGCTCCCGAAAGTGTAGTCAAAACATAGTGTCTGGCTGCAGTGCCGATCGTAAACCTTTCCCGGACATAAAGCCATGGAAGGTGACCTGCCTTTTTTTTTTTCTTTATTAGTTTTTAATCAATGTGTTTGATCTGACGCAGTAAAAAGATGTGGGGAAAAAATGTAATTGAGGATCAAGACAGTTTTTCATTTTGTCAAGGACGAATATTCCCAGCTCCCTGATTAAAAATCTCCACTGTGCAGATATGGGAGCACTGGTACAGTGTGATGTCTTCAGTTTCTCTTTAGTACAGAGGAAGTGATACACGTAATTCAAACCTCTAAATAAAACATTGTAAAAAATGATACACAGAATCAATTTTCTTCATGTACCAGATTTTCTTTAGTTTTTTCTACATGTAGACATTTATGTCTGTGTTGGAGAATCTATCCAATCATATCATGTGGTGCCAGGGTGAAAGAATCTGCCTTGGATATTAAGAATGAACACTATAAACACCTTTAGACATTAAAGCAGGCGTGGGCAAAGTTTTGGACTCGTGGGCAACAATTGTACTAAAATTGGGTGGGGGAGTTGAGGAGCTGATAGAGCGTTGGTGTGAACTAAGATAAATGACATGTAAAAGTCATGCCTAAAGACTAAAATGCTAAAACGATTTTATTATTTTCTACGCCATCTATTGGGTATTGCAGGTGTAAAAAGCAGACGTTTAATGATAATATGAATAAATTATACAATTTGGAAAAGTTTCGAGGGCTGGATTAAAAAGCTGAATGGGCCACATCTGGCCCCTGGGCCTTAGTTTCCTCAAGCCTGCATTAAAGTAACATAGAGAGAGTACACACTGGTGTCTAAACATCAATGTACAAACACCCAATAAAGGAAAAAAATAGATCTAAGGTAGGAACATATACAGAGATATATTTTTGTTCAGGTGACTTTACTGCAGGAAAGAAAATGAAGGTTGGTTGATGTGAGGACGGGGGAGGGGCCAATATCTTATGTAAGAGTAAGCAAAAAAAAAAACAGAAACAAAAATTGATGGCATGACACACAAACCCAAATCTAAAACATGTCAAACTCAAGCGACTATAAAGAGCCGTTCTCCGTGGCTTGTAACGATCTCCCATGCAGAGCGGCTGCTGCCATCGCCTGATTCATTAAGTATGTATAACGAGCCCTGAGAGAGCCCAAATGTTCACTATTGATTCACTGGCAGCTGTCACCACCTTGGCTTTTTTTCCTCCTTTTGTCAATGTTGCTTCCTCTTATACCTCATTTTTTATTCATTTAACGGAGCTCATGACTTATCGCTGATCAATGTCACCTATTGTAGCTTCATCAAGCACATCGAGAGCAGGTAAGAAAAACTGTTTTCTCAGGGGCAGAAAGAAAAACAAATCTCTCCACTCGTCCAGCCAAGAAAGCGTACATAATGTTGAAACAGCAGTATTTTTTGTGTTCCCCCGTCTAATTTAATAAATATCGAATAGAATTTCATTTTATGGATTCCTATTTGGCTATTCCAGACAACCAACTGCTACAGGAGGGTAATGATTCACCCTGCACTACAGTACATATATTTTAACAGACCCACTACACAGCATCATGGAAAATTGTTTATTTTCATGCTTAGGGCGAAAGCAACAGTGGGTGTTTGGAATAAATAAGCAGAGCAGTAAAGGACACTATAACTGCAAAAAAAAAAAAAAAAGTCAGAGCACCTCATAATCCTTTATACTGTTGGCATAAAAAGGAAATACTGCGGCAGAATAAGGTAACAGGAGTGTGTTAAAAAAAACGAACATCAGAGAAATTTGTGTGTTCTTGAAGAGAGCTTCAAATGAATTCCTAAATGACGGCTCCTTCCTTTGCAACTGGTATTACAGCAATAAAAATCCACACCGATAGCTTTTTTTTAACTGAGCAAACTTCATGATCATTAAAGCGCTCTTGGAAAAAAAAAAAGCCAACTCAGCATACGCAGCTTCAGTCTTCATACATTTTCTACAAGTTCTAAAATGAAGTGATGAAATTCACTGCAAGCAGCTTTTCAACGCAATTTCCTAATAATATCAGGCTCAGCGCGGTGATGGTGATTGCCGGGAAGCTGTGGAAGGTTTGGAGGTGTTCAAGGTGTGTTCATGTGCATCTCACTAATTTCATTACCGCCGTACAAGCTTCCACGGGCTCGATACCTGAGCCTCAGCCAGAATCTTGTCGGCAGAGAAGGGAGAAATCTTTGGGGAGAAAGATCAGAGGCCTCCTTTCTGCCTGCTGCCTTCAAAGTCACGCCTGAAAAACAGCCCGAGTGTGAGTTCAGCAACTCAGAATTTCAAAACAAAGAACGAGAGAGGGAGAAGAAGAGAAAGAGGGAGAGGGAGAGAGAGAGAAGCACATTCCTGAACCACCTCAGGAGTAGAGACCAGCCAGGAGAGGGAGAGAGAGAGAAGCACATTCTTGAACCACCTCAGGAGCAGAGACCAGAGAGTATAGACAGCCTTGACTGGACCTTTCCACCCTGCACTATGGCTGCTCCACTTTACATCTCCCATGATTCCCTGCTTTAAACAGAGCTGTGTTCACTAGTCCAGCTTGACACCGCCGCCCTATGGAGCTGCCGTCCAGATGTTTAATTTGGTCAATTTACCCGAGCAGGCAAAACCCAGCTAATTAGTTAGACATCGTGTGGTGTCAACAAATCAAGAATTGAGTCCATCACTAGACTTTAAACATGAAGTCAGACAACACAGACTGCACACTGAAAACAACTTGACCACGGGCACAAATGAACACACTTATGCTAACTTTAAAATTCAAATTTAAAAGCTGCAAAATGGAGCCTTTTGAATTAAACATGACAGTAAAACATCAAACCTGGTCCTAACGTTGAAAAATAAAAACCCCTCCAAATCATCCATATTTATATGAATCCTCTCTAAGCCTTGTAGTTATTCTGGGGCTGAGATTTCTCATAAAAGGCACCACTTGATTTATTTCTTAAATTAACTTCACTTTTGTATAACAATGAGGTACATAGTACTTGAGTTTTTATTATTATTACTAATACTATCATTATTATTATTATTATTATTATTATTATTATTATTATTATTATTATTATTATAATACAAAATCTCCCAAAAATTATTTCAATAAGAAAAAAAAAAATCATCAGCTTAAAGAGAAGGACAGATGATATGACATATATAAACAGGCAAACCTAAAATGAAAAGCCCGGGAATTGAGCCAGTGAATTTTTTGCTGCAAAGTGAGGTCAATGACCCCTGTGGCCCTGTGTGACCCCAGTTTAAACAAACTGACATTTTCTACTGTACTTCTGACAGGCAGTGACTCCCAACAGAATGGCTCCTCAAACTTTACGATTTAGAAAAATTTCTGGGGCCATAATTTCTTTTCATCAAAATTAATGAAGCGACTTATTACCCTTCACTCGGCCTCTCTTCAGATCGACAGCTCATCACACGGTATATTTTAAACCCTGTGCTTCGATGTCTTACAAAATATAGCATTTATTCCAAAGACCCCGCTGGAATAGTGTTAAAGAGAAGAGAATCTTGGGAATGACATAAATCATAAAGAGAATTTAATGACTCTAGGTTCAAAATTAAAGTAGTTGGAATATTTCTGAACAGACTTTAGCTGCGGTCGGAGATTTGGAGATGGATTCTGTCAGCCAATCGCAGCTCCTGCTGATAACATCCAAATACATTGAGCTCTAAATCCACAGCGTTAACAGCAGCAGAGTGCAGTAAACAATTTAACGATGTGAAGTATATCATAGTACCGTCATGACAGCGATACCAGCTTACCGTGTCCTACATTTATACTGTTGAGTCAGCAAGTCACTACTACTACTGCTGCAGGTGAAAAAAAAAAGTTATTACCTATATCACAGTTTTTACCATAACAAAAAGTGACCAACTGAATGTTATTGCACATGGAAGTGAAGATATTGGACACATTTCTGGTTTTTGATGGTGAAGTATTCAGAAATAGAAAGATTTGTTTCTTGAAAATGATTATTATTTTAATTTTTTATTTTCCATTTCCATTGTAAACTTTTTTGTTTTTACATGAGTTTTTACATGACATTTCATTTGCATTCCTCTGACTATGTCCAACCAAACCAGGTGACTTTGATTAAATTAAAAAATCTAATTAATAAAGAGAACATTAACATTTAACATTAATTGTTAAACTTGTGTCAATGTCACGGAGAAAAATAGTCAGGTTCAGATTCAGAATTAGAAAATAAATGATCCACTGAGGGAAATTGTTAAATTCTCCCTCACCACTTTGAAACAACAGCAATATTTTATAAAGCTTTTAACGTCAGTCGACGCCAACGAGAACAATAAGGACTGAATCAGTGTTGACGGTGATCCCTGATTGTTTTCAGGATTATGATGCATTTTAGTTTGTGTTTAGCTGTGTGTTGCTGTCAAACTGCTGTGGAAAAGACAAATAATGAAAGAATACACACGGAGTGGTTGGAGTGTCAAACCCAAGGCGAGGTAATTGTCTGCATTTCTAAAAATAAGAAGAAGCACAGAACAGGAGAATCTGCAAAATAACACAGAGCCCTGTCTGGTTTCTGGTTCTGTTCTGTGCTCGGCTGCGGTTCTCGCACCTCACGTCTTTATTGCCTCAAGTCGACTTGATCTATTATATCCGCTGGGCGTAATGCTGTTGGTGTAGAACTAAGTTTACAGCCTGTTGACTCAGTATTGAACGGCAGAACACATGGACGGTTACTGTGTGTTTCTTTTCTAATTATATGGATCTAAAAGAAAGACTGGAAGGACTTTGAAATCGGGGAAGCCTGGTGCAAAGTAAAAAATGAATAAAAAAAAAGACTGAGAGATTCTACAGTAGATGTCTGTGGATTTCAGGCAGAAAAACAAAAGTAGCTGATGGATATTAAAGTTGATTAAATGGACAGTAACTCTTAGAGTGAGTCAGTTTGCTGCAGACAGGAAATCACTGCGCCCGACCAGACAACATCAAGCCACCTACTATCAGTGACATTTACTGTACACCTGTGGGTGTAGTAAAAAAGGTCTCCGGCATCATTAGTGACCCCACGCACCTTTCACATGGACAGTCACCCCACTCCCCACCACACTCCCCCCCCTTAAAGCAGAGGTTGCAAAGCATCACGGCCAGAAACTAGATTATATCCAGGGATTTTGAGAATAATCTGAATCAGTTTTTCTGGTCACTGAACATTTACAGACCCTCAGGAACAGGCTGCGTAATACTGAATGACTGTAAACACAGACATGTTTACTTCTTGTATATTTTATACAACACTTTTAGGGCCATATTGAGAATTGAAAAGTATTAAAAAGATACAAGTTTTAAGTCATAAATTTATGAAGAATTAAGTCGAAACGTTACAAGAGAAAGTGAAAAAACTACAACAACAACAACAACAAAAAAAAGCTGTAATGATTGGGGAAAATAGTTTTAAATAAAAAGACAAATCCTAATTTTGAGAAAAAGTCAAAACATTACAAGAAAAAAATAAAACTTTTTAGGTACATTTTAGTTTAGAGAGTAATGTTGATTAATATCCGTTAACAGCCAATATTCAAAAACCCAGGTGTCAGGACTGCAGTAGTTTGTTCCTGCCCTGTAATTTGAATTGTTTATTTTTTATTGTGATATCACACTTTCTATAAATGATTTCATTTTAAAACATGATTAATTTAAATATTTTTACATCTAAAGTTTCTATTTTATTACCCTGCAAAAGTTGAGTGAATAATTTCTAACGTAACGTTCACCACAATGTGTTCAGATTAGACCTCCTCTCACTGGCACGTTTTTTGACCTGTTCGCTCAAATTTCACTGCAGCAACAGTTGGCGAGGTGTGGGATTTGTGGCTGACTCAGCAGTACAACCGAGAAAGTCAAGCATGTTTAATTAGTGAGTGACATTTCAGGGCAAGACACATAAAAATGCTAATGAAGCACAAACCAGGGCCAAGATATGACTAGACAGAAACACTCAGCGTTAGTCATTTTATAAAGACCGTAACCTTGTACGCAAAGTCTTTAAGGTAACAGGTCGGAAAACACAGCACACTTGGTCTGGTCTGGTCACCAAGGAGAAGATTGGACTGAATTGGAGGAGTGTTATAAATATAGTATTAATTTTTTTTTTTTAAATAGTATACATTTTATTTTAAATATATATATATACATATATATATATATTGACAAAAATCTAAGTTTTAGAAGCATTTATTTTCATTATGTTTCTGTAATGTCTAAAAATGCACAAGTTGGTGTGCTGGTGCCTTTATTTGTAAATCACATGAAAAGTGAGAAACCTTACTGGTTTTGGATTCTCCTGTGATGATCAACCCCATTTGTAATGATAGAAAAAACTGATTAAAAAAAAACAAACACTAAGAATTACAGAACATGTCCTGTTCACTTGTGTTGCAGAAATCAATTACAAAACGTCTTTTTGTTTTCACACAAACAGGACTGTCTGTAACTAAGT